GATATTCTCGAAGAGACAGTTCTGGTTTTTTCAATTTTTCAATTAATGTGCTGTCAAAGTAATTTGCTTTTGCTTCCCACAGACGTAACAGTTTGTCTAATTTTGCTTGCTGCTCTTCTGTGATATCAGCTAAAAAGAAAAAAAATATAGATATATATTTAAATATGTAATGAGCAAAATTAATTAATAATTATATCAATATACTTACCCATGCTATGAGCATTGCAATACATTGGCACAACAACATTTTCCAAACATTTCTTTAGTTCTTCAGCATTTTTTCTGGCACTGAAAATAAATAATATTTTGAATTTTAATAAATTCATCATCATTAATTAATTAAATTTATAGCTATTAAACCTATAGAAATTTTTTTTCAATATTATAACAGCTATCCATTATTATATTTCTATTATCTTACCAGTGATGAAGAACATCGTTAACCAAATATATAATGTGCAGTTTCTGAGCAAAATTTGCATCGGGCTGAATTACTCTGAAACAACCACAATAAAAAATTAGTACATTATTAACAACATATTAATATTTGAATATAATTTAAGGACTCACTTTTCTAAAAGATACTGTGATATAGCTGCTGCATGAGCATTAGTCGTTGCATTTTGTAATATCCAACTCTTCCCTGAAAAAAGAAACAAGAAAAATATTAATGACAAAAAAAATTATTTAATTAATTCATGGATTAATTGTGTTAACTATTTCATAACATTAACATGTTTATATAAATAATTTGAAATAATGCTAACAGTGGGGTTGCTTTACTACGTAATGTGGATATAAAATTACGAAATAAGGGTAGAATTTGATTTTCTAGTAAACTTAATATAATCCACTGCATTTTAAGATAAAATACAATGTTTTTAGATAAACTGGACTACTGGTTATCTGAGTATGATAAACTACTTTATATTCTCACTACCGTATTTACTATCTACAGTATTTTTGAACAATCTATATCATTTTCAGGCAATCTATATAATTTTTGGATAATCCACCAATTTGTTGAACAATCTATATCGTTTTCACACAATCTACAGTATTTTCGAACAATATGTATCATTTTCAGACAATCTACAGCATTTTTCGGACAATCTACACGTTTTTCAAGGAATCTACAGTATTTTCAGATAATATACAGCTTTTTCAACACTCTACAGTTTTTTCGGATAGTATACAGTACTTTCAGAAAAACTACAGCTTTTTTCGGAAAATCAAAATTTTTTTCGCATAATCTGCAGTATTTTCAGATAATATACAGCTTTTTCGAACAACGCACAGCTTTTTCAGTCAATCTACAGCTTTTTTCGGACAATCTACAGAATTTTTAGACAACTTACAGCTTTTTCAGACAACCTACACCTTTTTTGGATATTTACAGATGATATACAACTTTTTTGGATAACATACAGCATTTTTGGAAAATCTACAGTACTTTCAGACAATCTACAGTTTATTTAGGAAAATCTACAGTACTTTCAGAAAATTTACAGCTTATTTCAAACAATCTACAGTACTTTCAGACAATTTACAGCTTTTTTCGGACACTGCATCTTTTTCGAATAATCTGTAGTATTTTTAATAATATTCCATTTTTTCCCCGGATAATCTACAGCTTTTTCGGACAATCTACTTAATTTTGAAATAATATACAGCTTTTTCAGTCAATCTACAGCATTTTTGGACAATCTACAGCTTTTTCAGTCAATCTACAGCTTCTTCGGACATACTACAGCTTTTTTGGTCAATCTGCAGTTTTTTTGGACAATTTACAGCTTTTTAGACAATCTACAACATTTATGACAACTTACTTTTTTTTGGACAATCTACAGCATTTTCGGACAATCTACAGCATTTTAAAATAATATACAGCTTTTTCAGTTAATCTACAGCTTTTTCAGTCAATCTACAGCTTTTTTGAATAATCTACAGCTTTTTCGGTCAATCTACAGCATTTTGAAATAATATACAGCTTCTTCAGTCAATCTGCAGCTTTTTGGACAATCTACAGCTTTTTCAGTCAATCAACAGCTTTTTTGAATAATCTACAGCTTTTTCGGACAATCTACAGCATTTTGAAATAATATATAGCTTCTTCAGTCAATCTGCAGCTTTTTGGACAATCTACAGCTTTTTTGGACAATCTACAGCTTCTTGGAACATACTACAGCTTTTTTGGTCAATCTACAGTTTTTTGGACAATCTACAGCATTTTCAGACAATCAATAATATTTCTAGACACTTTACAGTATTTTCAGACAATATCACATCATTCTTAAACAACCTTAAACATATTTAGACAATCAAACTTTTTCAGACAACTTTCACTGTGTCTTTCTATTTCCTCACCTAGGAGCGTTAAACATTTAACGTAACTATGATAGAAGTCGTATTAGAAGTTTTGCTTCAAAAATTGCTTAACTAGAATATGAATAACAGGGAATATTGTTGTATCATTAAAATCGGCAAATTTTCTTTGAATAAACGTACAAATAATCTTCTCAAATGCTCAAATGTTAATATAAACTAGTGGGGCGCATGGCATCGTGCCTTAAGGCAAATTGCTGGAACTTCCGTACCGTAACGAAATGTTCGAGGAATATTGAATGCTTTCAAATAGATTATTATAAATATTGTAACATTGTCTAATATTATAAGAATTATATAAACTGAATTGCAGAGTTGAAATTATTTGTTTAAAGTATATTAGAACTATAGTCAGAATTAAAAATAAAATCTGAATTATTATTTTCGATATACAAAAAATTTAAAAAAAAAAAAAAATTGAAACAATTTTTTTTTTCCAAAATCAATTATTTTGTTGAGACAAGCAGAAAGTTGTTTGAATCAATTGAATCTGACGCTTAGTTCTCTCAAAAACTGCCATTTTTTGTACATTTAGCTCTGTATCTCCGAAATGGCTGGGCCTACCTTTGTGAAAAACTAATAACCCCTTCTCCCAATCATTACTAATTGAATGTTTTTTAGATCATTCAAATCGGATGCTCCGTTCTCTCAAAAACTCGATTTCTATTATATTTTCTGCACTCTTTGCTCGTTATCTCCGTACCTGCTGGACCTGCCTCTACCAAAAACTAATCAGCACATCTCCTTATCAATAGGAATCGAATGTTTTTTAAACCATTCAAATCGGTTGATCCGTATGCCCGAAAACGTGGGCGAAAATTTGTATCCATACATACATACACACACACACACACACATCCATTTTTTCTGAGGTATGCCAAAATGTTCAGAAACCTTCAAAACGTCGAGAAATGTAAAAATTTTCAATTCCGATTTTCGGCCCATTACAATAACTTACCCTACGGGAAGTTAATAAAATAAAGGTTGCCTACAAGTACTACAATTTCCCATTTTCATTTCACATCGCAGTGCCCTAAATGGACTATTTTCAATTGGAAACATATTTCTGCCTTATATTTTCAAGTGGAGATGGACATCGCTACGGCACGATATCTGGTTATTCAGAGCATGGGCTCAAACTCACAACCCTGTTCACATAAGACAGCAAGTTAAACCATTATGCCATGGAACTCCCTTTAATGCTAATATACACGAAGAAGAGAATTGCGATTGATGAGCAAACTAAACCTCGACTTGTAGAAGAGATTAATAATGTGCTATATGAATCAGAGACATGGACTTTAAAAAAGGCCGACCAGAACTACATAGGGTGTTTTGAAATGTGGTGCTGAAGGCGTATGGAGAAGATAAAGTAAACAGGCAAGGTAGCAAATTAAAGAAGTCTTGAGAAAAGTGGGTAAAGAAAGAATGTTACTGAGTACAATTTTGAAAAAAAAGGAAACTGGATCAAACCCGTTCTGCAAAAAAAAATGCCTTCTACACAACGTAGGTAAAATAAAAAGACTGAAAGGAATGGGAAGAAGAAGACAATTGACGACGTACACGAGAAAAGAAAATACAAGAAACTGAAAGCCGAAGCGCAAGAAAAGGAAGCATTGAAGCAGAAGTTTGGAAAGGAAAATACAATAAAGTGTAAAAAGGGGGGGGGAGAATAGTGGTAATGAGAATGATAGATGACGAAGAGGAAGGTAACCATTTATTTGTATCTCACACCACGGACCTGACTTCAGGCTGAATACTATTATTATACACTAGCAAAAGTATTTACAAAAGTAAATCGATCGAAACTTAGTTTAATATTAAAATCTTAATTCTCTACATCTACGTTTTATATACCTGAAGAAATATTATCCTTTGTACAAGAATCTATAATAGGCTTCAGCACTTTATCAATATCAGCTACTTCAATATCACATTTCTCGAGATCTGCTTTTATTCGATTCGATTCCAATTGTGAAGCCATTGTCGATATTTGAGTTTGCTGTTGCCTAAGTAATACCTGTGCAAAAAATAATTATTGTATAATAAATATTGTCTATCAATAATAAAGAAATCAATAATTTTTTTGAGCTATCATTTAAATAATAGTGAAATGACTATAGACTTTCGAAAAACTTAATAATAAGAGAGATTCAATTGTCATGGCAATGCTATGTTATGCTTATTTCTTGATAGTGAAAACTGTGAAAATGTCTATGTGTGATAATAAATAATAGTGAAGTGACTATAGATTTTCAAGTAACATAATATTAAGAGAGATTTATAAGGCAATTCTGCCTCATAACATAGCATTGTTAAGGCAATGCTATGTTATGCTTGTTTCTTGGTAGTGAAAACTATGGAAATGTCTATCTGTGGTAATAAATAATAGTGATGTGACTATAGACTTTCAAGTACCTTAATAATAAGAGAGATTCATGAGGCAATTCTGACTCATAACACAGCATTATTAAGGCAATGCCATGTTATGCTTGTTTCTTGATAGTGAAAACTGTGAAAATGTCTATCTGTAATAAATAATAGTGAAGTGGCTATAGACTTTCAAATAACTTAATAATAAGAGAGATTCATAAGGCAATTCTGCCTCATAACATAGCATTGTTAAGGCAATGCTATGTTATGCTTGTTTCATGATAGTAAAAACTGTGAAAATGTCTATCTGGGGTAATAAATAATAATGAAGTGGCTATAAACTTTCAAGAAACTTAACAATAAGAAAGATCCATAAGGCAATTCTGCCTCATAACATAGAATTGTTAAGGCAATGCCATGTTATGCTTGTTTCTTGATAGTAAAAACTGTGAAAATGTCTATCTGTGGTAATAAATAATAGTGAAGTGGCTATAGATGCTCAAGTAATTTAATAATAAGAGAAATTCATAAGATAATTCTGCCTCATAACATAGCATTGTTGAGGCAATGTTATGGTATGCTTGTTTCTTGATAGTGAAAACTGTGAAAATGTCTATCTGCGGTAATAAATAATAGTGAAGTGACTATAGACTTTCAAGTAACTTAATAATAAGAGAGATTCATAAGGCAATTCTGCCTCATTACATAGCATTGTTAAGGCAATGCTATGTTATGCTTGTTTCTTGATAGTGAAAACTGTGAAAATGTCTATCTGTTGTAATAAATAATAGTGAAGTGACTATAGACTTTCATAAAGCTTAATAAGAAGAGAAATTGATAGAGCAATTCTGCCTCATAACATTGCGTTGTCATGGCAAATAGATAGATAGACATTTTCACGGTTTTCACTTGCCCTGTTAATCGTTCAATACTTACCCCATGTTGTGCATTTAGATTTTGCTCAGATTGTCTAATTTGTTCTCGTAGTGTGTTTTGTTGAGCAACCAGCTGAAAAAGTTAGAAAAGATTAATTAATGAATAGCAAATAATTCTACATCAAAATAATAAGTGATGAATGATAAATCAAGTGATGAATGATTTTATTTATATACTAACTGTTCCAGCAACTTCCTTCGTGAAGAATTTAACACAAAAGTGAAAAAGTTTTTGCATTTCGAATTTAATTGCATTTATTTTCGGTTTGTTGTATTAGCTTTACTGAAAAATGTCTTTATACACAATATTTATTGTAAAATTTATTTCATGGGCAACAACTCTTTTCTTTCATTCATTATGATTAACCATGCTTTAAGGCAAATTGCTGGAACTTCCAGTACCAAAATAACATATTCGATAAATATTAAATACTTTTAAATAAAATATTATAAATACTGTGACATTCATTATTCGTATTTTATATGTTTACATAAAAAGTAAATAAACAAAACTTAATCAAGCGCAGTTAGAATCGTTAAGATGAAGGATCTTATCTCATATTTCTTATAATTATTCTTATAATAATGTAAATTGAATTGCAAAGTTAAGATTATTTAGTTCAAGTATATAAGTGAGTTTTAGAAATTCAGTTACAATTAAAATTAAAATCTAAATCAATTTTAACATTTAAAAAAAAAAACGAAAATATATTTTTTTTTAAGCTTTGGATTAAACTAGAAGTTCTTCTCCAAGAACTAATTAGAATCGTTAAGATGAAGGATCTTATCTCATATTTCTTAGAATTATATAAACTGAATTGCAAAGTTAAGATTATTTAGTTCAAGTATATAAGTGAGCTTTAGAAATTCAGTTAGAATTAAAATTAAAATCTAAATCAATTTTAACATTTAAAAAAAAAAATTGAAGATATATATTTTTTAAGCTTTGGAATAAACTAGAAATTCTTCTCCAAGAACTAATCCTGTCTTTACATTCACAAGAGAAGCAAAATGTTTTTTGAATCATTCATATCGGTTGAGTCGTGCGCGCAAAATTGTGGCCAAAAAAATGTATCCATACATACACTCATTTTTTCACTCAAGATAATTCAAATTCGGACTCAAAACGTTTGATACTACAATAAAGACATTTTTCTTAACTAAATATGTTTAATTATTAGATGGATTTATTGGATGTTGGCCCAAAAACAATAATAGATTTATAAAAAACATACATGTTCTACTCCTGGTATCGGAGCACTAGGTGGATTAGTTCCAGGTATAGGTACATTTGCAACATTGGGACCAGCTGAACCTAAAATTAAATTAATATTAATTGATATACTTTTAGAAAATTAACTTATTATCCTATATTTATAAGATACAACATACAAATAGTACATTTTACAATTGTTTAAACATACATTTGTAAAAAAATTCATGTTTAGGTTAAAAAAATTTATTCTAGTTATAAAAATCATTGTTCCCTTCCAGAAGTAGTTTGTTTTCGCCAGAAAATCCGACTTGCTAAATTTATGTTTTTTCAAAGTTTCAAGTCATTTTGAGTCGTTTGAAACCAATTTTGGAAAAAGTGAGCCGATTTTTTAATTTTTGTAATAAAACGACTGAACCGATTCCTAAACTTAAACCGTTCTATAAAACTCGTTAAGTTTCTTTGTAAGTAGCAAAAAAAAGTGTAAAGTTTTCGTCCACTTTTTAGCCAAGGCATAAAGACCAGCATATTATCTTAAAAAATAATGTATATTTTGATTGTCAATAAATATATGCATGCAAAAAAAACCTTTTAGCCGAAAATCCTAAATCAATTTTCAATATTCAAAAACTTAAGTGTATAAGAAAGAATGTTATAACAGAATCTTCGATGATGCAGTTATCATATGATTTTTCCTTGCTTGTTTATATCAAAAATACGCCTGATGGCACAGCAAACAGATAGACATTTTTTCAGTTTTCACTACCAATAAACGAGCATAGCATAGTGTTGCTATATTATGAGCTCTGTTATGATAGTATTGCTCCATAATTATAATTATGGACCGATTCTGCCTCATAACATATCAATGTTATGGCAAGGCTATGTTATGAAAATCTTACCATACTAAATATTGACAAAGCCATGTGGCGCTGTGCAGTCAAACGTTTTTCTTTCAGATAGAAAACCTAATCTAAAGACTGCACAAATGTCAAAAAAACGATGTTAGATAACATGGTCTTTCTGACCCAACTTCATAACATACAAGTGACGTTGCAGTTTATGTGTAAAACTCCTTAATGCACAGCAAATACATGATATTTTTTTGACAGTATTCAGTATGATTCAGTAGCATAATATATGGAAGTTGGAGTGTAACATGGCCTTGCCATAACATTGGTCTGTTGTGCGACAGAATTGGCCCATTAATATATGACTACTTTAATAATTATAATTTTTGTAGTGAAAAAAGTTATTATTATAAAACAGTAAATCAATAACACTGATTAAATATTTATGACATAAAAAAATCTCAAACATCCTGATGATGCTCAAAATGCAATAAACAGTGATTTCACATCATCAGACACAACTACATAGTATTAGTATTATTACTACTATTATTATTATAAATCAGAATTTTTTAATACTATAATATTGTAATTGTAATTTTAAGTTATTATAATATTGTAATTTGAATTTATTACCATTTCCACCTGGTACTGTTGATATATTTGCTGCAAGCCATTGTTGAAGGCCTGCGATATTTCCTGGTGGTTGATTTACATTTGGATTTTGCTGCTGTTGCTGTGGCCCCATAAACATAGGCTGCTGTTGTTTTAACACTAAAATAAACATGAAAATTAATATAAATACAAAAATTACAATAAACATTACAAATCAGTATATATTATAAAGTATAGATAATAAAAAAAAATTCAGCATTAATTAAATGCATAAATTTGATAAAATTATACAAATGTTCATCGACATATTAATAATTATAAATTTATTCAAGTACTATCAGTTACTGTTTAATTTTAATAAAAATATGAGAATACATAACAAAATATATATATATATATAATATATATATAATTTTAATATCTTTGTTAACTATTTGAAAAAATATTTTAACAGCCCATCATTTGTCAAAATAAAAGAAGAAAATTTAAGAAAAAATAATTTTCTTTGTTATATGTTTCGACACCTGATGTGTGTCATCATTCAGCATTAACTTGAAATTACTATCATTTGTGATTTTTCAAAATCAGTATTTTGTGAAAATATTATGTAATTTCAAGTTAATGTTTATAATACATAGTGTAGTGCATTACCATATCCTGATACCATGGATTATTAAAATTTTCCAATTTAACACCTAAGATCAACTAATTTTTCCACTGAATGAAGGCTAGAATTATAGCCGAAACGTATGGATTTAAAATAAATTTTTGAAAGAAATTCAGGTTTTTTATTGATGTTATGCCCGATTATTAGACTTTGTTAATACATATGTCAACATCAAATTCAGAATCATACTATATATATATATATATATATATATATATATATATTCTCCATATTTGTCTTTAGTTTTTTTTATATTAACTCTAGTAGGTATACCACTATATTCAAAAATTGAGACAAGCCCCTTCTAACTTGCAACAAGTTAGATAAGTTTATAGTAAATAAATTAAACAATAAATAAGTAATAAAATTGTAAATTAAATTATCATAAATCTGCAAAATATTGACGGCTTGTAAAATAAATAAATAAATAAATATCATGGCACTTTTAAAGCACAGGTTTGCCGTAACAATATAAATATCTTTTCACTAAAAAGCAAGCAATACCAAATATCATTTTTTTAAGTAAAACTTCTTTACGCGCGACTAGGATGTAAATCCGTACAAATGCAACGGAAGTTCGTTACGCGCAAACTGTTCGTCATTCGCTCTCGATGAGATCATTTCTATAAGGGTCGATTGAGATTAGTCATCGTGTATGTGAATAGAATTCTGTCGTTGTATGTGTACCGATATCAACAAGGAAATCGGCATAAACAAATGAATTTTACAAATACATCGTAGTAGAAATCTTGATTTAATGAAAAATACCTGAATCAGAAGAATATTTTACACTGTTCCTTGAAAATAATAAAACTAATTAAACATTTGGGCGGTGTACTAAACGTAAGTTTATTGTTTAGAAACTATTTCTATATTATTCATAGTTTTTATAAATCTTTGAAGTTATTAAAATGGAAAATATTTTTTAGGCAAGACAGATATTACAGCTGTTCAAATAATGAGATTATATTACCAATAAAAAAGTAAAAAAGTAAAAAAAATACAAGCAGTCAATGAATGTATGTTAATTTTAATTACATGAAGTTATTCAAACACAATTACATGATGAGTGAAGTTGCAAAAACAATACTTGTTTAGGCGTTCTTTAACATAATCCACTGTGTGAACGAATATTATAGAATTTATTAATCAGCAATTACTTCATTTATCTAATGAAGGTTCATTTCTAAATGCTAATTACAATAACAAACCAATCACATCATATTTGAATTATGACTTTAATTACATTATTGTTTCTAAATATTATACACATTTTTAATGCTATTATAAATATATAATTTATAATTTACCATTATATAAATGTGTATAATGGTCGACACTAATAAATGTGTGCATCACGAGTGTTACCATATTACTAATAAACATTATTCAAAATTGTTATATCATGTATTTATATTTACTTAAATGCCATCTTGTGCAGTAGCAAATAAGTTTTACTTCAATCGCGTGTGAACCTTACGCGCACTCTTTTTTTGAAAATACAAACAAATGAGTAGTACAGAAAAATGCTCAGAGGATGAGGATATACTCCAGAAAGCAAACAATTGCATTGGCCAGCACTTACTTGGTAGTTAGGACTAAAAAATCTTATAATTCATGTGATGGATATTACTTCTGTTAAAAAATAATAAGTACAACAATATTTATTATAAAACCATGATATGTATCATGTTTATCTGAATTCTTGGAACGTAACCCCTCTTTCTGTACTAGTTCTTTCTAGGATTCGAATAACACAGTAGTTTTTAGGTAGCTAACTACCATGTTATACAGGTGTTACCTGTATTTGTATTAAGGAAGTGTCCACAATATGTTTCCTGTCCTCGCAATCACAAAAACAACTGTCTGGTAAACATTAAATTAAATCCTACGTCTTTCTTTAACTAAAATAACTATTAAATATATTTACATGCTTGTTCCGCCGCCACTTTGTACTGATAATAATTAAAGTGTTCTCCTCCATACAAAAAGGCAAACTTAGGATTATTTTCCTGTTTAGATTTTGTCATAATTTCAAACTCCGGCCCATTCCTAGCAACAAATTGCGCCAGTTTGTCAATAATATTTCTCGTTTCATTATCTGGAAATAAAATAATAAATAACAAACAAAACCAACAGATATTACATTTGTAAACATTATTTACAAATGCGGTAACCTAAATTTAGTTCATATATATTTACCACTAGGCGGTTGAGGGAATTCCATATTGCTTATTTGTTAAAGATTTATAGTAAAAATAGTACATTAAAATATTTTATTATTTCATCATTTTAAATAATTTTAATTAAAATATTCTATTGTGTTTCTTGTATCAACATTTATCTGTCAATAAGTCAAAGTGTTTGCCATAGGCGACTATAAGACGAAGAGAGTGGACATTTTGAATAAACGAATGTGAGGACATCTATACGGATCATACTGTGAACTATTGGTGAATTGCCATAGATAAAAGAAGATTATATGGCATCGTGTCTTAAGGCAAATTGCTGGAACTTCCCGTATCGCAATAAAATATTAAAAAAATATTAAATGTTTCGAAATAGATTATTATAAATACTATAACATTGTCTAATATTTATAAGAATTATAAACTGAATTGCAAAGTTAAAATTATTTATATAAAGTAATAAGTATAAAACTTTAGCCAGAAATAAAATTAACTAGTGGGGTGTATGGCATCGTGCCTTAAGGCAAATTGCTGGAACTTCCCGTACCGTAACGAAATGATCGAGGAATATTAAATGTTTTAAAATAGATTATTTAAATATTGTAACATTGACTAATATTTATAAGAATCATATAAACTGAATTGGAAAGTTGAAATTATTTGTTTAAAGTACATTAAAACAAAATTAAAATAAAAATCTAATTTATTTTCGATATAGAAAAAAATGGAAAAAAAATTTGAAACAAAAAATTTTTTTTCAAGATCAATTATTTTGTTAAAACAAGCAGAAAGTTCTTTGAATCATTCAAATCGGACGCTTAGTTCTCTTAAAAACTGCCATTTTTTGCACAATTAGCTCGGTATCTCGAAAACGGCTGAACCTGCCTTTGCCAAAAACTAATCAGCACATCTCATCAAAATTTTCATTTTCGATTTTCGGCCCATTACTATAACTACCCTACGGGAAGTTAATAAACAAAACTTAATCAAGCAGAGTTAGAATGAAGGATCTTTTATCATAGATAAGTAAACATTAACTATTAGTAAACCTCTTATCTCATTTTTCTTATAAGACTAGTTAGCTTTAGACACTAGTTAGCTTTGCAATTCAGTTTATATAATTATAATTATATAAACTGAATTGCAAAGCTAACTAGTGGGGTGGGTGGCATCGTACCTTAAGGCAAATTGCTGGAACTTCTCGTACCGTAACGAAATGTTCGAGGAATATTGAATGTTTTCAAATAGATTATTATAAATATTAACATTGTCTAATATTTATGAGAATTATATAAACTGAATTGCAGAGTTGAAATTATTTGTTTAAAGTATATTAGAACCATAGTCAGAATTAAAAATAAATTCTGAATTATTTTCGATATACAAAAAAAAAAAAAAATGAAACAAAATTTTTTTTTTCGAAAATCAATTATTTTGTTAAGACAAGCAGAAAGTTCTTTGAATCAATTGAATCGGACGCTTAGTTCTCTCAAAAACTGCCATTTTTTGTACATTTAGCTCTGTATCTCCCAAATGGCTAGGCCTGCCTTTGCGAAAAACTAATAACGCCTTCTCCCAATTATTACTAATTGAATGTTCTTTAGATCATTCAAATCGGATGCTCCGTTCTCTCAAAAACTCGATTTCTATTTTCTGCACTCTTTGCTCCTTATCTCCGTAACTGCTGGACCTGCCTTTGCCAAAAACTAATCAGCACATCTCGTTATCAATAGGAATCGAATGTTTTTTAAACCATTCAAATCGGTTGATCCGTACGCCCAAAAACGTGGGCGAAAATTTGTATCCATACATACATACACACACACATCCATTTTTTCTGAAGTATGCCAAAATGTTCAGAAACATTCAAAACGTCGAGAAATGTAAAAATTTTCAATTTCGATTTTCGGCCCATTACAATAACTTACCCTACGGGAAGTTAAAAAATATTATTTAAAGTAAGTATACATATATATAAGTAAAATTCATAACTTTAGCAAAAATTAAAATTAAAATCCCAAATATTTAACTTCCCGTAGGGTAAGTTATAGTAATCGCAAAAAATAGAAAATAAAAACTTTTATATATATTTATGTTTCAAAGGTTTCTGAACATTTTGGCATACCTTAGAAAAAATGGATGTATGTGTGGGTACGTGCGGATACAAATTTTGGTCGACGATTTTGGGAACACCGATCAACCGATTTGAATAATTCAAAACACATTCGATTTGTATTGATAAAAGAACGCGCTGATTAGTTTTTGGCAAAGGGAGGTCTAGCCGTTCCGAAGATACGGGGCAAAAAATGCCAAAAACGGTAACTCAATTTTTAGGAGAACGGAGCGTCCGATTTTAATAATTCAAAAAACATTTTACTTGTATTGACAAGATGAAGAACTGATTAAATTTTTGGGAAAGCCGGTCCAGCGGTTATGGATTCTCAATAAAAATACGTTAAAAAAATCTTCATTTGGCGATGAAAAATGTTTACTGCACACATGTACATCAAATTAAAAGATATTTTATAGAGATTTTAATATTGTGTAATTATATTTACACATTTTGTGTAAATTTTTTTGGGTTCCGTACCAAAATTTTTAATTACGGTACGGAAAGTTCCAGCAATTTGCCTTAAGACCCGTTGCCATGCACCCCACTATGTTATAAAAAAAACTCTGAAATAAAAAACAAATTTTCTTTCTTAAAAAGCAATCGTTTCGTCAAGCAGAAAGTTTGTTGAATCAAATCGGATGTTTAGTTCTCTCAAAAACTGACATTATTTGCACATTTAGCTCCGTATCTCCGAAACCGCTAGACCAAAAACTAATCACCACTTTTCTTTATCATTACGAGTTGAATGTTTTTTGAATCATCTAAATCGCTTGATCCGTACGCCCGAACTCGTCGACAGAAAATTGTATCCACACATACACAAATACATCCATTTTTTTTTAAGATTAGCCAAAATGCTTAGAAACCTCTGAATCATAAAAATATGCAAAAAATTTCAATTTTGATTTTTAGACGATTATCATAACTAACCCTATGTTAAAAAGTAAACTTTTTGGGAAGATTCTATTAACAAATATGGCTCAATAGCAAATCTTATTAAACCTGGAATGGATGTAAAACATTATTAATAAAATATTTACACAAGTCATTGATAACGATGTTTATTTATATTATAAAATATATAAATTAATTCATATATCTAATTATCATTAATTTCTATAAGCAGCCATATGTAATTTTGTGGCCAATTTTGTAAATACTAATTAGTCATTGGTACGAGCAACCATGTGCCTTTTCAGGGCATATAAACGTTTGAATACCTTATCACAGATTTTGCATTTGTAGGGGCATTCTCCAGTGTGAATGAGCATATGTCTATTCAAGGTACTTGATTGTATGAATGCCTTATTACAAATTTGGCATATATGGGAGCGTTTACCAATGTGAATGGGCGTCTATTCAAGTGAGCCAATTGTGTGAATGTCTTATCACAAATTTGGCAAATATGGGGCCGTTCACCAGTGTGAATGAGCATATGTTGATTCAAGGCAAACAATTGTGTGAATTTCTTGTCACATATTTTGCAAATATGTCGACGTACCCCAGTGTGAATTAGCATATGTTGATTCAAGTTACTTGATTGTGTGAATGTCTTATCACATATTTGGCAAATATGTGGACGTTCACCAGTGTGAATGAGCATATGTTTATACACGTTTACTCGAATCTGTAAATGTCTTACCACATATTTTACATGTATGACGTCGCCATGTGTAAGTTAGTATATGTTGATTCAAGTTCAATTCCTGTTCAACTTCTTCTATTTTCACTATGGAGTTCATAAATCTGTTTAGACATGTTTTGTCATCCTCTGAACACGATTATACTCTTCCTCAATTTCCTGTTTAATGTCTTCGATTGGATATTCTTTTGGTTCAATTTTAATTATCGAATCATCAGCAGCTTCCGACATTTTGAGATATTTGTGCACTGAGTATGTTCTGTAAGCATTAACAAAAATAGTTGGTTTGTTTAAATGAACTATTGTTAAATATGATAATTAATTTCACCAGAAATATAAATGAAAACATTTGTTGTTGACAGTTGGAGCATGGAGTATACTTGCATTTAATCTCTCATGAAATTTTACAGGAGTGTATGTTTAAGTTAATAATCAGTCTCTACTTGTTTTCTCAACTGTCGTCAACACAAATGGTTTCAAGAATATAATATATTGATATTACGGTTTTGTCTATGAAAGTAATCTTACATTAAGTTAACAGAAGTCTATTTTGGATAATGTATGTCGCCAAGATAATTCCTTCCCCAAAATACTTTATATTTGACAGATAAATATGTTAAAAGCTTTTGCCTTATAGAAGAGCTAAAATGTAAAGGATAAAATTAAGCAATAATTATTTTATTCATTATTTGAAGTTAAATATTTATAGTTCTTTCTAAATGGAATAATATAACTAAAAGTTAACCATGTGAAATAACCTCAAAGTATTTTACACTACCTTTATGTTTATCAATCAATCACAAATACTGCTAAATAATATATATTATTATAATAATACTTAAATTTATATATAATGTTTATTATGACATTTATTTAATAATTAAATAAACGGAATATATTAATTAAACGAAATGTTCGTTCAGTACATTAATTTGTTTGACAGTTGAGCGAACTTCATTACTTTGCATCGCTCTAATGTTACCATTGCCAACCTAGTGAAATCATAGACCTTATACTACATGGACTGCTACTCGAGATCAAAATAAATGCATAAAGATAAAAGGAGGGGGGGAGTATTAACATTAAGTATTATGATAAATATTATTAGCTATTAATAATATATTTTAATATTATTTATCTATGGTCAATGTGTGCAGTGCAAAAAACTGAGTGTTGTGTGCACTCTTCTTTTAAGGGGGCATCCATTAATCACGTGATCAATTTTGTAGGAATTTTTGGATCCCCCTCTTACTTGGTTATTTGTGTTGATATTTAAAAATACCCCCTTTCCTCAACCTAACATCACTTGTATTTTTATGAGTTTTAAGTATTTTTAAAAATTTTTTTTTTATATGTTTGGATTTTTTTTAAAAATTCAGATATAAAATAAATACACGTTATGTCTTGCCATGCCCTACCCTTCTCTACGTGATATTTAGTGGTTTTTTGTCAAACCCTCCCTCCACTTAAAAATCTCACGTGATTAATGGACGCCCCCTAAGTAGTGTATTCCAGGCAGCGTCGGAACCAGAAGAGTGTCACAAGTGTTATGACCCCCCTGAACACAGATAAATACACCTTGAACTCGTCTTGAACTAAAGTATGTTACTAATTCAACAATAAATAAATTGTTCCATAATGATTTTATTAACTTTTAACGAACTAAAATACGAAAAGTTAATAAAATCAATATGAAGCAATTTATTAACTTCCCGTAGGGTGAATTATTGTAAACGTCTGAAAATCGAAATTGAAAATTTTTACATTTCTCGACGTTTTGAAGGTTTCTGAACATTTTGGCATACCTCAGAAAAAATGGATGTGTGTATGTGTGTGTGGGTGTATGTATGTATGTATGGATACAATTTTTCGGTCTGGGTTTGGCGCACGAATCAACCGATTTGAATGGTTCAAAAAACATTCGATTCCTATTGATAGGGAGATGTGCTGATTAGTTTTTGGCAAAGACAGGTCCAGAAGTTACGGAGATAAAGAGCAAAGAGTGAAGAAAATAAAAATCGAGTTTTTGAGAGAACGGAGTATCCGATTTAAATGATCTAAAAAACATTCAATAAGTAATGATTGGGATTTAACAAAATAATTGATTTAGGAAAAAAAAATTGTTTCAAAATATTTTTTTTTTTTTCAATTTTTTTTTCAAAAAAATTTTTTTTTTGTATATCGAAAATAAATCAGATTTTATTTTAATTCTGACTAAAGTTCTAATATACTTTAAACAAATAATTTCAACTTTGCAATTCAGTTTATATAATTCTTATAAATATTAGACAATGTTACAATCATGTTACAATATTTATAACAATCTATTTGAAAACATTCAGTATTCCTCGAACATTTCGTTACGGTACAGGAAGTTCCAGCAATTTGCTTTAAGGCAAGATGCCATGCACGCCACTAGTTTATTGTTGAATTAGTAACATATTTTAGTTGAAGATCAGTTCAGGGTTTATTCAAATGTCCTCAGGTGGGTCATAACTCTTGTGACCCTTCCCTGGATCCGCCATTGTCAGGAACACACTACTTAAAAAAGAGTGCACACCATACTCAGTCTTCTGCACTACACACCTAGACCTTATCATAGATAATTAAGCATATTTAATTATTATTAAGATTTGTTCTGACTATTTGCGAGGAACTGCTGGAACTCCAACTGACCAGAACTAGTTTATAATCAAAGTAAAGAAGAAAAAAAGACAAAGAAAAAGATAAAAAAACGATACAAAAAGATGTAAAAACATTTAAAAATTATGACTCCCAGGAATAAATTTAGTTGCTTTCTTATAATTACCGCCTTTATTTTTACCAACCCAAATTTACAAATATTATTTTGCAAGTATTTCCAAACAAACAGAATCACCATGAATATGAATCATAGTCTTTATATTACATTGTAATACGATATCTATGATATAAATACATTAAATTCTAATATTGCCTAGGCAAAGTCGCAGCAGACTCGTGAATTAGGCCTACTGGAGAAACCACTGAAAAAACCAAAAGTTATATATCTTTAAAACGGTGGCTCTGATGCATTTGTTGTAGATAATTTTATGCTCTACAATATTGTCTCAGGTAATTTTGCGATAAACTGACCGTTTAGCTAAAAATCGCATAAGGGTCATTTTTTTATTCTTTGACCTTGTGCCATTTTTTTTAGCTCGCATCGGATCGATGAGGTCTTTTGATATTTCTTTTATAATTGTATTTTACACTTTTGCCAAGTTACAGCCCATTGTGATTTATAGTAACCTTCATCATTATTGTTGATTGTTGGTTTAAATTGGCCGGGCTGTTATTCTACATGGACTGCTAGTCGAGCTCAAAATAAGAGCATTAAGATATAAGGAGAAAATAACATTAACTATTATGATAAATATATTAACTATTATTAATATCATTACTTGCAAAATTATCAGTCATCACAATTGCCATTATGTTATTAATATAATACATATCATATACTCTTCTTTTATCTATGCATATCATACTCTTCTTTTATCTATGATACATATGACTATAATGTCATATCATAGATAAGGTAAGGTCATATTATCTAGTCAAGGGGAAAAGTTCCACGATTGTCGGCAACGCTTGTTCATTAAGTGACGTCATACTTTTTTCTATCTTTATAAACTTTATACCATGGCTTCTTAAACTACAGGGTGCGACCCCATTTAAGGTCGCCATAGAAAAATTATGGGGTTGCAAAGAAATTTTAATGTCAAATATATATATTATCAATAACATCGAGTTTAGATTCTTGTAAGTTTTACAACAAATTCTAAAACTATATATTTTCATATATAT